GGGGGGGGGGGGATGAGACAAGGCGGCGCCCCATCGGAGTTAATGATGGGGTGACTCATCGGAATCGACGTCGGCTGTTGTTCCTTCGATAACAATAAGAAATAGAGAGAACGAAAAAGATCTTACAAAAGCATAAGATGTTTGATAATTTAGAAGGAAGTTCAAATGATGATGTGGCACATCTCATTGAACAAGAAATATATTTATCTAAATCCTCAACTTTTTGGCTTTTCCCTTTTATTTTAATACAATACTCAATTATTATTAATCCAAAAACAGTTAATGTTCAATTGTAGCTCTAAGATAAATTGCACCATTTCAAAATTAACCGAAAGTCAGCCGTTTCAAACCAAAATCTCCACGTCTTCAGTTCATCCAAATCAAAATACTTAATTGCATCTTTTTAGTAAACAAAAGCAGCGTTTCAAAATTATGTTGCATCTAACAAGCCATCACTCCTCTTTGTCTTCGGAATCCACCGTCTAAAATCATCTCTTTAAAAATTAATTCCTCTTATGCCTGTTTGTCCTCACTATTTCATCATCCCACTCTCTGCATTTGTCTATCCTACAAAGATTATAAGGAGACTTTCATTTGATTCTCTTCCGTAGTATACTAATCACATCTTATTTCTCTATGTATGCATAATTTAGTACAGAATTGAACCATTCATGATGAGATGAACTTTCAATTTCTCAATATGCTGCGCTGAAACAAATAGGTTTGAGATATTTTTAATGTTCTTTTATTAAATTCTAATCGTAAGTGGCAAAACATAGATAGCTATGATACTCTCTGATTCTATTAGTATACATAATAGTACTCTTTTCTATTATTTCGTCACCTTGACTTCATTTATGGTATGTTCATATTTTTCTCAGTAATCATAATCTTTAAAAGTAGGCTTCACAAAAACTCATAGTAGTATCTTTTTCCTCCTTTGGTTGCTTTCTTCCCTTCATTTTTCTCTTTTGGATTTAATAGTTATAGTAAATTTATCAGGTACACTATAAAGCATGTTTGACCAAACTGCCAAAAACTGCTTCTTTTGAGAAGTACTTTTCAAAAAAATACTTTAGTAGAGTAACGGTTTGTGTATGGCCAATTAATTTGAGAAATACTTTTAGCCATATTTGATAAGCAAATTCTGTTTAATCCTTCCAAAAAGTACTTTTGAGCATCAAATTACAAAAAAAAAAGGAAAAATATCAATATTCAGTTTACAATTAATATTATTTGAAAGAGAGAATCAAATTCAAATATTTATTGTAAAATAATTTAATTAAATTCTTTATTATATTTAAATAAACATTAAGAAAAATACTATATATTCTTGAGATATAACAAACTAGATAGTATTGCATACTTTTAACTATAATGCATGAATAAAAAAAAATTACAAAATAAAAATTATGTAATATTGGTATACAAAAGAAAAAAAATATATCTTATGAACAAAGTATTTGAATCTAGAGTATTGTAAATTATGAATAGGACATAAAGAAAAGATAAAAAATGGCTGAATAAAAAAAGAATAGATTTATTTATAGTAAAAAGACTTTTCCAAAGAAGATAGGAGAATGGGAATGAAAATAAACTGAAATAGAGCAAAAAGGGATTGTAGAAACAAAAATGAAAAATGTTAAATTAATAAGGGATAATTTAAAAAATATACATTTACAATAAAGATGTTTTTGTTTTGAAAAAGTTATTCTTTTTTCCTTTTACTTCTTGGAAGAAGCTAGAGTTTGTAGCTTCTTTCTAAAAGTAGAAAATGCGCTTTTGTTGCTGCTAAAAAATACTTCTCTATCTTAGTCAAACACCTTAAATTTCGAAAAAGTATTTTTTTCTGATTAAAAAAAGCGCTTATGGCCTCCCAAAAGTTTGGCCAAACAAGCTCTTCGTCTTTTCTTTTTAATGCTTTATCATCTTTCTTTTTGGTTCCAGCATGTTAATTTTTTAGGTTATAACTCTTTTCCTCTGCTTAAATTTACCTCTTAACATTGAAACTTAGTATTCAGTCGACAATAAAGATATATAGAGATGAAAACGGAGAGACACAACGTGATATAATGCGATATTCTTTTAGAAATTTTTTTATAAGTAACATATTTCAGGAAGAAGAGCATTACTATTTTACAATATTTTTAAGTTTTATTAAAACGAGAATTGATTAGTTTTGAATTAGACATAATTTTTATAGATGAAAAAATTACTTTAAGTATTTGTCAAGTTTCATCTTTTTTCTTTATGGACTAATTTATAAATAATAATTTCTTATGACTACACGAAGCGCAGATAAATTAGTGAAACCTCTATGACACATCGTTGCTTATAATAAATGACGAGTATATAGCGATATTGTTATAGAGAGGTCCGAGTGTATACTCAAAGTAAGAAATTTTAAGCTTTGATGGTAAATACTTATCAACATCGGATGTTTACATCCAATCAAACAATTTAATTTAACAGTCAACCCTTCATTCTATTCCATACAGCCTTGGTAGGTTTCTATGTCTCAATTCTATAAACCGGTAAGCTCCATTTTTTTTATGGGACCTGAAGGCTAGGCTAAACCTCCCTCAAAGGGACGAAGTGACTCGACTGAAAGGAGAGGGATGAAGTGAGCGGAACTCTTTTTCAAAGAACTGGCGATATTCCCTTAACTGCAGATTCAATAGCACCGATTATGAACCCGGAAAGAGAAGAGCACCGTCTACTCATACNCTTTTCCCTCTTCCCAACCGCTGTCATGTCCCGCTACGCTAGTTCTACTGTGCTTTCTTTTCTTAGCCTAAGAAAGAAGGCTAGTCACTTCCCTTATTCATAGGGGCAACCCCTTTTCTATCGAGTAGTCACTCTTGGCCTCTTTCTGTCCCGACTCGGAAGAAAATCATAAGCTTGAAGAAAAGAGAAAAGAATCCTTGGATGATGCAGGCATCAAAGGCTTGTGGGAAAACTTAGATATTCACTTAATAATAGAGATTGCAATAGTCTTTAATGTTAGAGCACCCCTTAGAATAGAAAATGTTGTCCACAGATTTAGTGGGCGTTTGGACATAAAAATTGTAAAATTCCGGAAAAAAGTGAACTTTTTTTTCAAGTTGAAAATGGTATTTGAAAATTAGAGTTGTGTTTGAATATGAATACAATTTTTAGCTGTTTTTGAATTTTGGGAGAGCTTTGAATTGAAAATTTTGAAAAACAATTTTTTTGGAGTTTTTGAAATTACGAAATTCAACTTTAAGTGAAATATGAAATTTTCATGACCAAACACTGATTTAAAAAAAAAAAAAGAAAAAGTGGAAAAAGTTTCAGAAAAAATGAATCTTTTCTTATGGCCAAACGAGCCCTTAAATTCTAATATAGCTCTGTGTTAGGGTGGATTTTTCTTAATGAGATAATAGGTTGCAGCCGTGTTATGGTTCTCGTACATATCTTACTTGGTGATTAAAAAAAATTTAGTTACGCAAAAAAAAATTGTAGAAGTGTGTAACAACTTGATCCTACCACATGAGAACGGTCATTTAGCTTTGTATTTATGACTCAAAAGTTACTTTGTTAACTCAACACCCAACTGATAAAAGATATAAAGCGTTAGAGATTTGTAACCACTGTTTCTGGTAGATACTCGTCTCATATATTATATATCAAAAAATGAGAATTTACAAGAAGTGTGGCTTTGCTACACCATTACATAAAGATGATTGTAACACTATTCATGAAGCATAGATTCACATGTTTCTTCCCAAAAGGAAGTGTGATGACTATGGTCCTCCATTAACATAATTCTATCGTACATTTGAGAAAAATCTCTCGTGTCTATAAATTCCATCTCTGAATCTGTCCATTCAAATTCAAGATCAAATGATATTGAACAACTCTCCTCTTCACTAGCAATATCACACAAATGGAAATCATTCGATTCGTGACAATCTAGTTCTATATGCTTTAACGAATTAGAATCACTAATCAGGACAGGAGAAATCTCTGCTTCCAAAGACTGGATCACACTTCTAATCCTTTCTTCATTACTTTCTTCAATCTCTGATTCTTCGAGAAATGACATGAGAATATCAGTATCCATTTTTGAGAATTCAACATCACTAAAGTTAGCATAACTAGAGTTTGAGGTTGACATGTTGTGTAAAGGAGAAATTGAAGTAGAAAAGAGTGGTAGAAACTTAAAGCAATTGGAATTTAGAGATGGAAATGAATGTGAATGACAATGTGTTATAGATTGACATAGTTATATAGGCTTATAAATAGTCATATCAAAAGGCAACAACTTGATCCTGCCAGATGGATGTGCAGATCGGTTGATGATCCAACAAATCATGTGCAATCTTAGATTCTAAGATTGATAAACAACATGTTTTCATAATATTCATTTACTAGTCAATATTTGGACGTGTGATGCTGAGTTGTCCGTGGAGTACTGAATAAACAAAGTTGTCTAAGTTTTGTTATATAAGATATTCATCTTAGGAAACATAACATGTGAAGATGATTCATTTACACAAGATATTGTCTGTCTTAATGCTCTGGTTCAATAATTTTGTTTTACTTTAGATTACGGGTTCTAACCGTGAAAGCAACCACTAATATTTGCATTAGAGTAGGCTGTCTATATCACACCTATTGAGGTATGGTCTTTTCCCAAACCTTCCATGAACGCATAATGCCTTGTGCATCGGGCTACCCTTCTAATAACGACAGGAACTTCTTGATGATTCGATTGGAAGGATCATAGGAAATCAAACTTCAAGCTGATTTAACACCTTTTTTGTTTCATTATTTTCCTTGTAACCATGGCATCAGACAGCAACATGTGCAAGATCTATTATAATAATGATCTGGGATATTACAGAGGAAGCTTCAAAGAAAT